TACCTGGGACAAAGATATCATCTTAACTCAGTTTGGAATGCTAAAGATTTTTACAGCAATATACTGAAGGCTGGACATCCCCCCCCAATTTGCAACTTGGTTTTATAGGACTCTTGTAGTATCAAATTCCTCGTGTCCCTTGTGGCAAAATACACCACAATGTCCCTTGGAAGTTGTTTCTGTCTGGCAAGCCATGAATTAACACGATATATCTTGTCAATTTGCCAGTCAAAGTCCCCTCCTGACCATCCCATCAGTTGATCAAAGGCTTCTGAGAAAATCTCCTTCAGATTTTCTTGGTTTTTCTCTTTAAGGCCCCTTATTCTTAAAGCAAATTCCATCTGTCTATATTGCAACATTATAATTTCATTTTCTGCATCATCAACCTTGCCTTGAACCACATCCATTTTTGTTACCAGGTTAATATTGGAATCACTAAGATCTTCCACTGCTGAAACGTAGCCAGATAAGCATTTAAAAGCATCTAAAATATCTTCTCTAATTTCTTGATTACGAATCTGGACCGATCCCAAGACTTCTTCCGAGATCTCCTTAAAAGCAACAGAAATCTGTATTTTAATTTCCATCGAGGCTGCATGATCTTTTAAAGCATCATTTAATACTTTTTGCAATATTTCTTGAGTCAAAAGTTCAGCAGGAAGTGGGGTGTTGGAGGGGCAGCAATGACTGTAATTTAGTTGTCAGAGCAGGTGAACTCCCTGCGCTTTTAGAAGTGATACGTGGTTTAACTTGCTTAGAAGCCATTTCCTCAGTTAATCTTATCTTGCACCCAATTAATAAATCCAGGCAAGCCGCTTATTCCAGTTATTACTCTGTAGTTTGCTAATAAATCACTGCTGATTTAATGATCTTTAGATGACCTTAAGGTCTGTAATAATTTGAGCTCTATGAAAGTTTGTAACATCACAGCACAACCCCGCCTATAAAACTCTTCGGCGCCATCCGTGTCTTTCTGCCACGTAGATTATTAGAAGGAATTTTTAGAAAAATGGAGTTAAAGTCTGTTAATACATACAA